TCTTTACCTTCTAGTCTGTCCTGGAGACAAACCGTCACGTCGCCGTGGTCGGCAAACTGCAGCTTGCGAGCCACATACGGCTCTTTGGCCCCTTCAGTGTGGCTCTTCCACAAAATACCACGTGCAGGCGCGCACGTACAGTGCGATTGAAACTTCGTGGCCCATGCGCAGAAGTCGGTATTTTGTGGAAGAGCCACACTGAAGGGGCCAAAGAGCTGCATGTGGCTCACGAGCTTCAGTTTGCCAACCACTGGATGTGGATGTCAAAGAGAGAGTCCTTGTTTAGATTCTTTTGAAGGATTTTGAGCATGACCAGTGCTGATGCCCATCTAAAAGATCCTGCTACAGATAATCAGCCTCAGTCTCGTGTGTGAATATTTTGGCCTCTAGATTAGTTATGTTGCTGTTGAGAGTGGTCAGGCCAATGTTGCAGCTGGATACCCTTTTCTGATCTATTTTAGCATGGAGATATTTGCCTTTACACGTTGCCTATTCTATCTCTGTGGATCTCTTTCTTCGAAACTGGGGTAAGTGGGACAAGAACTAATGGTAACACTCGCTGTTCTCTTCCTACCATTCCAATACCTTTCTAACGTCTGTGGTGAGAATAAAATTAGGGAGAACGTGTGGCTATCTTTTTGTGCTTGCCACCTTGTTTGGTCTACATTCCTTCTAGGTTATAATTTCTCCTGTAATCTAGGCAAACAGAGTACTGTTAACTTTATGTGATTCAATCTGATTTACCACAGTGCAGGGATCCACATAGGAGGAGTATTAAATCTTCGAAATAGTAAAGTGTTGCCATGTGGATATAGCTCCTTTTGTCATAGCTACTAGACATTATGAATTCTAGAACTGATAGTGTTTGCATCTTTACTTGGGTCACTGGGAAACTCAGAGCAAAATTTGTGAACCACTTTGAGTAAGTGGAAGGATCTTTTGGTACACATTTAAGGTATTGGCCTTAGCTTTATATTATTTTCCTTTCCCTGTGATTTTCTAATTTATTCTATTTTTCAGTTGTGATTTTAATGAAGTTAACTCAACTCCAGTATATGTGCTGCTGAAGTAAGCACAAGCTAACTCAACTCTAATCAGAGAGTTAGAACTAATAATAATTATTATTATGTGTAAAAATACGAGAACTAAGCAGTAATCTATAATACCAGCTGGTTAATCACAGAAAGGAGATCAAGAGTGCTGTACTGTATTGGAAACTGTAAACTATGTGGAATGGGTTGCAAGATCTTAAAAGAAATGCAAATAGGATGGATCAAATACATGAGGGCATAAATGAGAAAGCACTGGGCAAGCCTCAAAGATTCAGGGCACTAAATAAAGAGCCATGGCGGTCCTACTGCTTGACCGCCTGACATCATCTCATCCTGGACACTAATTTGAAAATGCTTCCACGATGACTTGAATTCATCCTTTATATCACCTCTGTTTAAATCTCAAGAAAAGATCTTGGATCACAAATGACGGAGCCCAAAATGTTTATGCATTGTTTTCCATTTCTCGGCTGTCAAATTGATTTTACCTAATTGGAAAGTCTTCTCTCAGATCTTATTCATGGAGCTACTAAATATAATGTGCATAGCATTAAACTGTGTAAAACATGCACTAAGGCAGGCTGATCTGATAAAAGACAAATATACTCTGTTGAATCCCTTAAATTAGAGTAGCTTGTAACAGACATCGAGGCACTACAGAATAAAAGAACATTTAAGGCATTATACCTTTAGAAAAAAGTACAAAGGTTAACTTATAGGACACAAACATAAAAGCCCTATAATTCTATAGAAACACCATTCTACGTTAGCTGGAAAATACTGAAGTCTTGCTTGCATTATTTAATCTTAACTCTGATCAATCACCCTTCTGGTTTATTATTAAATTATCTGTCCTATACTATAGTCTATAAAATAGAAAGTTTAACAACAGATTTTTAAATTTATAAGTTTCTGCTCTAATAGGATACACACATTTCTGAAAAATCTCTTTCTGCAAAATTGCAAATTAAAAATAGCAAGCCTAAAGGGAAAATAGCATTAGGGGCAGACTAAAGACAAACTACCAACAATAAGAATTCTAAGAAAATATTAGCATAATTTTAAAAATACATGGCAGATTCCTAGCAAAGAAATGCTAGAGTAAACATAGGATTTTATCTTATTTAAAAGGTGAAAAAGTTAATAAAGAAGGGTTGAGCTTGCTAGGTTGTAAGGACAAGAGGCCAGTGGACAAAAAACAGGCAGAAACAACAATAAGGACTTGAACCACAGAGCATGTGACCAACTGAGCCAAAAGATGAATGTGGGATGAACAATCATCATGTCCAGCACAAATTTCCTCTAACTATATCAATGTAATTTGACTTCAGCTGGTGTATTGCTTAGTGGCACAAAATATGGAACAAAATAATTCAATCATTTATGAGTTAATTTATGTTGCAGAAACAAGGCTGTAATAGACAGATTATACCAAAACTTTAAATTATCAAAGTGTTTCTAGATTATGTTGAAAAAATTGAAATTAAAAGTGTCTTACCAAGCCAAGTCACTACTGAGGAGAATTGTCAGTATGGGGTGAAAATATGGGTAAAATAATAGGTTTGATAGATACTAAGTGCTCAATAAATGTTAGTAGCAGCTACTACTATTACTTCTGTTGCTACTATCTCTACCAATACAGTAGTCCCCCTTTTCTCTGATTTTAGTTACCCAAGATCAACCACAGTCTGAAAATATTAAATGGAAAATTCCAGAAGTAAACCATTCATAAGTTTTAAATAGCATTTAAATTCCCTTTAAATTTAAATTCTGTTCTGAGTAATGTGATGAAATCTCACATAATCCCAACTCCATCCCTTTGTCCAGCATATCATCTCGCACCATCACAAGAAGAAAGGTGAGTACAGTACAATAAGATACTCTGAGAAAGAGATAATATTTATATAACTTTTATTGTAGTATATTGTTTTAACTATTCTTAGTTATTGTTGTTACTCTCTTACTGTGCTTAATTTATAAGTTAAACTTTATTATAGGTATGTATGTATGGGAGTGGGTGGAAGTATATATAGGGTTTGGTACAATCTGGGGTCTCAGGTATCCCCTGGTGTCTTAGAATGTATCCTGCTCAGATAAGGAGGCACTACTGCAAAGACAGAAACTTAAAGAGCTCTGACACAGACACCTGTGGCATAACCAATATCTATTACTCTTTACTTTCTTGCTAACAGAGTTCTGATTTTTGCTCAGGAATCTACCTCTCAGGGAATGTGACCTTAACCCAATTAGAGGCATATCTGGATTAGACTAAACCAATTATAGTAATCTCATTCCTTTTGCCCATGACTGGTTTAAAAGAGTAGGCATGTGGCCTCATAACCAATAAAACATGAAGAAAGTTAGCTAAGAGAGCAGGGGAGGAGCTTTGGGGATATGACAAGAACATTTTCAGTTGAATATGGGGGCAAAAACCTGACAGTAGCAATTTTAGGAGAAAATGAGAAGAGGAATTAGATACAGTAAGTATAGACAACATTTTTGAGGAATTTTGTTACAAAGGAAGATAAGACGTGGGAAAATAACTGGCTGGCTTTTTGTTTTTTCAAGATAGGAGAAATAACAATAGGTTTGTATGCTTATGGAAAAATCTAGAAGACAAGATGTTGAAAAACTATCTACATAATTATGGCATAACCAAGAATTAAAATAGGTATAGGGTTAGAGAGTGAAGATAGCAGGTAACGGTCTGATGACATGAAAGTAAAAGCTGTGGTTTTGTGTTTTTTGTTTAATTTATCTTTATTGTTGAAAGTATTACAGATATCCACCCCTTTCCCCCTTTAACCCTCTCCACCCAGCCCCTGCCCCACTCCAGGCATTCATCACACTATTGTCTGTGTCTATGGGCTATGAATATATGTAAACATGTTCTTTGGTTAATCTCTTCCTGCCCCTCCCGCCCTTCTCTCTGAGATTCAACAGTCTGTTCCATGCCTCCATGTCTCTGGATCTATTTTGTTCATTAGATTCCACATATAAATGAGATCATGTGATACTTGTCCTTCGTTGACTGGCTTATTTCGTTTTTTTGTCTTTTTTTATCCTCACTGGAGGATATTTTTCCATTGATTTTTAGAGAGAGTAGAAGAGACAGGGAAAGACAGAGAGAAACATCAATGTGAGGGAAAACACATCAATTGGTTGCCTCCTATACAGGCCCAACCAGGACCCAGGCTGGGGAGGAGCCTGCAACTGTGGTACATGCCCTTGACCAAAATCGAACTCAGGACCCTTCGGTCCGCAGGCCAACGCTCTATCCACTGAGCCAAACTGGCTAGGGCATCGCTTATTTCATTTTATCTGGAAGAAGTAATGAGAATATAAAGAAGATAGTCAACCTACTTTCAGACCCAGTCATTCAAGAGCCCAGGGAGAAAACCAACTTTGAAGAGCTGCAGAGGAAGCAGTATCTCCAGAGGAGAGCCCGTTTCCATTAGAACAAGGTGAAAGGAAGGAAAATTCAGAGAAGTCAGGAATTTTGCTGATGGTGGATCATGAATTCCTGAGGGCACAGAAAAGTTTCAGCAGCTGGGCAGGGGCAGAAAACAGAAGAGGGGATAAGCAGAGCCTATGGGATTAGATGTGGGAGTCTAGGGCTTCCTGCAGTGGCAAATATGCACTGGGATAAAGAGCATAGTAATTGTGCTGGACTCAAGAAACATAATGATGGTAAAGTTGTGAGTGTTCTGGGGACCAGGGCAGTTCAGGGGCACAGGGTATTTCCTCCTAGTGCTGGTGCTCTTCCTCTTGACTCCTGTTGATGGAACTCATGGACCTGAGGCTGGCTCCCTTCATCATTAACAACTTTATAAAAATGCATGTCACCATCACACATATGGATTTCTGATCAAAAAGCTTACAATTTTTAAAAATCTCCCTGCTCTGGGGGAAATGTAATTTTTCATAGCAGAGTTGGGTTTTACTTACATCTGTGTTACAGGAGCGATGCCGTTTCCTTTCCCCAAGGCAGTATTTTCCATCTCCTGAAGGTCTGAAAACATATTTTGTTTAACATGTGAATATACTATATTTATCCACATAGAAAGCACATATATTGCATGATGAAAACATATTAACATTTACTTTAAGAAAATACAAAATTGGACATTTTATTAGTTATTAAAAAATCATGCTGGGGACTGTTAGTAATAATGATTATGATTGTTGAATGTTAAAATTAAGGCGATTTACTATGAGTAACTTTACAAGACTGTTAATTGTCATGATTTACATTAAGAAAATGCAATTAAATCAATGTATTTTCTAATTATCATAGTAAACAGGTGATTGGTTCAATTTGAGATTCCAGCTTAAAATTCACTTATTTATAATGAAAAGCCACTTGAATCATTTCAACAAACCCATAATCCGATGCATTTTGCCCACCAAGTTGGAAATGAAAAGTTTGATTTTTTCTCAGACTGGAAACAAGAGAGGACACTAAAAGACTCTCTGGAAATAGTTTCAGTTCCAAGTAAATAATGCAGAAATGAATTTCTATCTCATTTCAAATATTTAGTTTTAAAAAGTTAAATCTAAACATCAGATGGGTTTGCATTATATAAATGCTTTAAATAATACTCAAATTAATGAAAAAGTGAGATGTCAAATATTTTATTTCCATCAATTAATTTTTAAAGTATTAAACATTAGGTAGAGCCATACGCTATTATTTGAATGCTATTTTTGAAGGCTAACTTGTTCTTTTAAAAGAGGTCTGGTCATGCTCTTAAATATCTGGGTATATTATTGATTATTATAGGGTTTTATAATTTTGGTTATTATTCTACAATAGCCTACAGTTGAACTTCGGTTAATTATTCTGTACTTGTTTTAAAAATAGCAAAGTCTAAATTACAACTTTGTCTTACTAGAATCAATGGGATAATTTAAGTGACAATTTTGAATACGTTTTGAATGCCAGTGAATGGTGACTCTAAGCATGGAAAACAAATGGCCCAGCTTGAACCAGCTTGGGAGAAATGGGTCGGTCAGACAAAAACAGAGTAATGGGGATGGTGGTAGCATGGCTGGTTTACGCGTAAGTGACAGTGAGTGAGCCCAGTTTAGCAGGAGGGTAAAAATAGCTAGAAAATGGGAGAATGGAAACACAGCACTAATATCCAGGGAAACGATTTCAAGCTAAAAAGAGAAGAAAAGAGACATTTAGAGAGAGGAGCCAAAGAGAGGGATCCTGAGTTAAAAGGAGGAAGAAACAAATACAGACCATCTTTTACCCCAGAAGGAGGAATACAGCAGAATTGATGTATCATCACCTGGTTCTGCACCAAAATATGCATTGGGAAAGAAGGCCATCAACCTGAGCTCTAGCCAAAAATGTGAGCTGCTAAGGAGCAGTTCAGTCTCCAGAGGGGCAGGAAAGACCACGCAGAGGAACAGTCCACCTGCAATGGGCAGTGGTGGGAGGGAGAAGCAATACCACAGCAAAGAATACTGATGGGACTGGCCTTCCGCCAGAGGGGCTCCGGCTGGAGAAAAAGATGGTGGGAGAGGAGCAGTCTGACCTGCATAAAACAGCCATGGGGAGAAAAGTGGTGGCAACTCCAGAAGATGATTAATGGGGGCATGTGAAAGGAAACTATTTTAACACATGGGCAGTATTCTTTTCATTGTGATTTGTGATGCGAATCAAGGCATTTCAACCCTTGAAGGGCTCTCATTGGTCCTTTTAATACTACTGTAGCAGTAATAATTTTATGTGACATGTGAAAAGACCTTAGGTTTCCTGGGAATAATGGTACTGTAGCTAAGACCAGACCTGGATTCATCCATAATTCAGTAGTTTTTGGAAAAGGAAATCTATCTGATTATTAGTAGATTAAGAATTCTGGCTCTACCTGAGGTAGATACACAATGCTTGTCTTTTTCCCCTTTCTTTTATTTTTAGTCACATAGGAAGGGGCGGGGAAGAAAAGCAAAGTCTGTCTAACAAGGCTCCTCCGCTCTCCTTGCCTCGTGCTTGTTCTGAAGACAAGCACTTGGCTCGGGAGTGAAACGTTTTTACAGATAACATGTGAAACCACAGCTTTGAATCATTTCCAACTGTGTCTTTTTGTTGGCTGCGGCTTACTTTAGCTACTTACGCTGGACTGTCACACTGTCTTAGAGATGAGGAGACGCCTCCCCCGCAGGTCCTGCTGCACTTTCCCCACAGTGACCAGGCACCCCAGCCCCCTTCTACGCTCTGGGGCGAAGTGCCAAAAGCAACACATTCTCCCTGATAGCACCACTGCAAGATTGCACAGAAAACACAGAATTAGCTTTTAGGCAGATACAGCTATCAGGACAGAAATACACAAAGTTCAGGCAACGACCAATTACAGGCATTAGCATTCTCCCAACAGATAACAGAGTTCTTTAACCGTGTTTACACATTGGTGATGGTGCATGTGATTTGCAAATTATCTTTAGCTAGGCAATGATTTCAAAATCTCTAACATGTACCAGGAGTCTAAAAAACGAGTCTACTTCTCTTCCCTTATTTCACCTACTCCAGACTTTTCGTGTTTCTCATTAGGGAGACCTCAAAAGCCTTTTTTCGATATTCTAGTATTAAAAAATTTTCTTTATATTCCACTATTATTAGACTCATGGAATGATAACGCAATATGGAAAGTTCCCCAGTAAGGAATTTTTATGATGGTAACTGCGTTTTCTTTAAAAAAAAAAAAAGAAAGAAAGAAAGAAAGAAAAAGAAAAGGCTGGTTGAGGCTACAATAGTAAAAGAATGTGTTGTGGCATTTCATCTACATGAGTACTGCAGACATAATAAAAGTAATGCCAAGACACTAGGGACTGGGTACAAAAAACCCTTATGTACACCAACCAGCCATGTGCATAGCCCCTGCATGAACATGTGTGTTGGAATTCTTCTCAGCTTTATTCTCTGCAATAAACCACACATACTGCACATAAGTAGAAAGCCAGGAATAATTTATCGAGATGCAGACATCAAATAATCAGCTCATAACTCTAACATGATAAATCTTACTTGCAGAATATGGTAAAAAGGAAAGCCTTTTTTAAAAACAACAACAAGAAGAAGCATTTCTAGGCTTTTATCGGTGCATTTTGTGAATTGCCATCAATCGCTGACAAACCATACTGATGCTATGAAAGTCATTTGTTTACATGAATAACCACAGGCAACATTATTAGAGTTGAGTAACTGTCAGCAATGTTAGCTAGCTAAATAAAAATTCAACATTATATTAAAACATAGAGGGATTAGGACATGTGATGCTTAAAAGTAATCATTGTATAATACTAATTATATATATCCAGAATTTTTTCACTTTTCACCTTTTTCACTGCTACCAATGGCAAATGGAATAGCTTCTTACCTGGTTCCCCTACTTCCACTTTTTCCTATCTATAATCAATCTGTTCTCCAGTAAGCATTCAGAGAGATCTTTTTAAAAAACATATTATCGCATCATGTCTCTTTTTTTGCTTAAAAGACTCTGGTCAGCTGTGGCCTGTGGGAAACACCCCTGCCTCCTTCTCCAGCCTCACTCTCTCTCTCTCGGATTTCTCCAGACACACCAGATTTCCTTCCTTTCCTCCAACACTAAGCCCGTTCCCTCCATAAGGCACTTGCATCTGCTGGTCCTTCTGGGAATACTCTTCTCCCAATTCCTTATATTGCTGTGTTCTCATCATTCAGTCCCAGGTCAAGTGTCATCTCACCAGGGAACTCTTTCCTTGACCACCTTATCCCAAAGTGGAACCTCCAGGATGTAATCGTTTTAGTACACACTACTTTAAATTACCCTGTTTATTTTTTGAATTACTTCATTATTGTCTGTCTCCTCTCGTTAGTAAGTAAAAACCTTAATGTGACAAGTGTGGCTATTTAAATTTAAATTAATTAAAAATTAGGTTCCTCAGACTGACTAGCTACATTCCAGGGCTTCATAGCCACATGTGTGGCAACGATGTTGGGCAGAGCAGATCCAGCATGTCTGTCACCACAGAAAGTGCCGGAAGCCGGTCCATCCTTGCTGCTTGACACAGTCGCTGCAGGGAAGAAACATCTGCACAGCATATGTTTCAAGGGACCTGGTGTATATGGCATACTGTTCTTAATATGTTTGCTCCCCTTCTTCGCGCTATGTGTTTTAACCAAGGTCATCTCTCCGGGAAAGGTTGTTTCCCCAGGTAGGGATTTTTCCCTGAAGTTAGAGAGGGAATAAAACCACTTAACTAAGTGCCAGGCGGGTAGTTAATCACTTTAACTACCAACAATCACGCTTAAGCTACATAATCTTTACTCCCTGGAATGGAGATAAGAAACGCCCTAACCTTTGGAATAGAAATTGATAGAATTAAAATCAACTGGTATAAATACAGATGTAACAAGACAATAAGACTCAGAACTTGGCTGGAGATCCTGACTAGAGAACCCAACTATGCTGGTCAACTGAACGCTGCCTCTGTGTCATTCCTTCTTCACTGACTCCATCCACACCTTTGGGAACCCCTGGACCTGCTGGGGCTGGACCCCAACAAGAATGTTCTATCTAGGACAGTGCTTAGCATGTAGTAGATAAGCAACAAAAATCCATTGACTGAAAGACAACGTTAGTTCAATTTTAGAATTCTGTGTTCTGTTTTGGTTGCTGCATGTCAGGAAGGAACTGGAAATACTGGAGGGTAAAGAGAGTCAAATTCACCTTTGTTTCCCTAGGAGTTAGCACTGAGTAAATGTTTTAGTAGTTGTGACAACATAAAAGACTTTTTAGAGAAGTGCTAAGCAATTATCATTTGTCCATAAAAAAATTAGGCAAGAAGAATTCAAATTTTGGTTGGCTAGAAAGCAGAACATTCTGAGCCTTAACCTATTAGATATTAAAGTAAGACATTAAGAAAGATTATGAGTTTTGAGAATGAAAATTACCATGAAAAAAACCCATCTGTCCAAAATGATGAAGCAGAGGTTGCTGGCTGCACTGATATAATACAGGATCAGCTCTGGGAGTAGGACTGCTGATAATGTACACTTGAGAGGGAGAGCATGTTCCAGCTGTCAGCTTATCGCTTACCTAATTGATCCTGAAGACCAATCATTTGTATAATGATATACCACCAATTGTGCTAAACCTTCACCTATATAAAAGTCACAACATTAGGCCAAATAATCTCCGGTTTTACATTTTTGTTATTAGAAGTACCTGTGTGTACGGACATCTATGCCTGTACCTATTTTTTCTTTGAGAATGACTGAGCAAAGTAGTATTGACCAGCAATGACTGATTTGAGCCATGGTTTCAATTAGTGACAACACTTTAAAAAACTCCAACTCTTAAAATTTGCCTATTTTTTCAAGTTGGAAATCTAGCATTATTGATTTCAAATAACATTAAAGCTTGATTTTACATTTTATAAAAGCACAGAGCTGCATCTAAAGCTCAAAAGAACTTAAGCATTCATGCGATCTAAGCACCTCATTTTTCAAATGAGAAAACCAGAGCCTATAGCAGGTTGACTTGCCCAAAGTCACTTACTGGCAGAAAGGAAGGAATTATCTGTCCAAAAATACACAAAAAAATCAGTGTGTGGGGGGGGAGAGAGAATCTATTGGAGGTGTAGAATTCTATATTTAAAAACATTAAATATTCCACTATACTTTTACTGAACTGTTTTTACTACACAAAATACAAAATAACACTAGAGACTGAAAATAAAAAAATTCACTTAGCTATAAGTGAACAGCCACATGTTATTTCAGACCTCCTTGGGTACTCTTATAATTGGTAGAGAAAAAATCACTTTCTGCATTTTCAGGGGCTAAAGGAATTATGAAAGCCATAAGGACACGAAAAGATGTAGGTTCCAAAGTATTTAATAACATTGTTATATGTTTCCTGGAGACTCACAAAGTGTAGGACAGGGAAAGAAGTCACACAAATGATTTTGTTTTCCTTTTAAAACCTATCCTTAAGGTAAAAGATAAATACAATATTCACCTTATAAAATGTTGCTCAATTCTCATGATTACTTAACATTTACACAGTATTTCATAATTGGTTTGCTAGAACCTTTTACTGCATAAATTCACCCGATTGATTATATCTATCCCATGAAATCTATACTAATAAAAGGGTAATGTGCTAATTAGACTGGGAGATCTTCTGGGAGACCTTCCGGATATCCTTCCGGACAAAGTCATGGTGGCAGGGCCGAGGCAGAGGCGGTTAGGGGAGATGAGGCCAGGAGGGGAGGGCAGTTGGGGGTGAGCAGGCTGGCGGTGAGAAAGCCAGCAGGCAGAGTGGTTAGGGCGATCAGGCAGGCAGGCAGGTGAGCGGTTAGGAGCCAGCGGGCCCGGATTGGGAGAGGCATGTCCCCCAAGGGGTCCCAGATTGGAGAGGGTGCAGGCCGGGCTGAGGGACACCCCCGCCCCCGTGCACGAATTTCCTACACCGGGCCACTAGTTATAACATAATAGACAATTATATCAGATAGTTAAATAACAAAGATTAATGGGTTAAAAAAGAAGAATTCATAATAATATAAGTATCATTCACCAATTGATAAGAGACTACTGTCTAGTTTAATAACTAATTAACAACATTGTTAGCTAGTTAACAAGTAAACAACTTCCGTCTGTATAGGGACAACTTCACTCTGTGTGTAGTCTGTGTTATAGACCTGAGCTCTCATTCGAACAATATATTTGATTTAAAGCAAGTCATTTATTTATTTTCTTTAGTTTCCCTAACTATAAAATGGGGACTAACTTTAGTTTTCGATTCCAATATGGCTTGGATTAGGACAACTTTAGACATTATTTCTGTGCAGACATACCTTCAAAGAAGTTAAAAACACATCAAAGGACTTGTTTGATTTTTTTGTGTTTTGTTTAGTTTCCCCCCACCTCCTATTTATAGGAAGGGATCTCTTTGGAATTCTTGCTACTTCCCTCCTCTGGTAATTGCAAGTATCTTGATGTAGCACATGCTTTTAAGAGAAGAAACTTATCTGACTTAATAATAACTGCTTTAAGAAATCCATAGGAAACTTCATGTGGATAAAGTTATTTGAACTAATTTTCTAGATAATTACATGAATCAATATATACTGATTTAATATAAGTCACAAGTATAATTGGATTACACTAAGTAAAGCAACTTGAAGTATATAAATCCTATAAGCACATAAGGTGAAAATTTTGAGTGTTGTCTTTTCTATTTTTATCCTTTTTTTTTTCTTGGCCTGAAGTTGCCAAAC